ACGGTGGCTCGTATACTTTCGGATATGTTTTGAGACTCGCCACAACGGTGGAGATTCCTGGCTTGGTCATTTATGAGTTGTGTTCGACCGGTATACGATAAAATAATAACTCTGTTTTGGGAATTAAATATATGATTTTAACTCGCGACAAACGCAAGACAACCATGCCTCAACTATTCACGGAGACAAAGAAGCTTCGGCTGCCATTATATGCCTTTAAAATATATTGTGAAAATTAGATTTTGCTTTGACCACTCTTATCATTCCATCGTTAGAATTGTGTGATATTTTTTTTAAGCCTGTTCCTCTTAAAGTAGGTACAGTCAATTATTATCATTATTATTGTTGAAAAAATTGTAAAAAAATTGTAAAGAAAAATAATGCAAATGGTGTAAACTATATTCAGGAATATTTTTAAAGAAAACGATGTAGACTATTCATACTTTTTTCGGCGGTATTAAATTCGAAAATAATCATGGGAATAACACACGATTTATCTTCACATTTTGGAAATTTTACTCAAAGTAGTTTTCAAGCGCATCTACTAAATTCTTTACCGGTAATCAAATGAATGTCCACGACAAGAAGCCAATATATTCTTAAGGTAGTTGTGGCATAGATCTACAAACGCATTAAATTCATTTTAATCCCAGAATATTAAATTTAGTTTAAAGTTTTATTCGTTGAATTATTTATTTAAATGAGTACTTGATCATAATTTGTTTGTTAAAAATGTACAGTTCCTTGTTTTAGCGGAGTGAGTGGTCATAAACGAGAAAATACCTCTTGACTCTTAAAAATTAAAATAAACAATAGCACCGTAACGCTCGATTTACATGCTTCAGTTACGCTACAGAAATAAAGTGTCGCACTTATTTATTTCCCTGCTGAGATTTTATGAGTCAGCGAACATATTTGACGAATCGATAAAAACAAAATACATCCCTTGCGGAGAGATGCGCTGTACATGCAGTTTGCAGATCTGTAAAAACTTCATATTCAGTTTTGACGGCCTCTTACTACAAAAATTTCCATGGGAATTTAAAGAGCGCTATTTCGGCATTCGAGGTATAATGAGATGTTGAAGATAAAATAAAGAAAAGGGTAGTTTATGTAATAGCTATGGAATGAATTGATGCAATCTGATAGAATCGTATAACGGAACAGTTTAAACTTCACTAAATCAATATATTGCAAATTAATGTGTCTTATTTACTGTTCTTTTATTGGGCGAGGGTTACTTATGATCAAGGTTCATTTGCTGTAGTTAGGATGCAGTGTAGGAAGTGTTAAAACAATTACAGGAAATAAAATTTGATCGCTGATTGATTGATTCTAACCTCTTAAAGGTTTATTATTAACTTATTTTCGGCGGATTTATCAGGTAGACGCATCGGCTATGATCAATGATTTCAGTTGAAATTTAAAACAGTTTTACTCGGATTGGCCACTTAAATTTAGAGATAAAAACGTGAATGTTATGTTTGATTTTTATTTTTAGACTGCAGAGTGTAAATACACTTATGTTGCAATTTTATTTCAGAATATTTTATTTGTTTACTTATTTTCTATTTGCTTCTTGCTTCAATTCCTTGCTGAAGTTTGAGTTATGTAGTTGGTATTACTTTGTTGGAGCACAAGAAAATAGCACGGTCGTATTGTAGAGGCTTCGACATCCATGCGTTTCAGTTGAGCTATACCCGGCGTTGTAGTTAATAGCTTCCAGAATGATCTCTTAGAGGCCTTTTACGGTGGGCTGAAAATGGGGGCTTTTTGGGGGTATCTGGCTCAAGATGTAGATAAAGCCACAGGTGTAATCAAAACTCTTTCCACCAAATTCAAAAAGGGAATGCCGATAAAAAAAAAAACCGAAGTGCGCGTAAATAAATAAAACTTCCCGCACCGGCGCCCAAGAACGCGCAGCGTGAGGCCCTGACAAACCAATAATTTTCAACCCCACACGGAACCTTCTTTATCTACAACAATACTTCAGAAGGGCGATAAAGGGGTATTAAATTACAGTAGTATTGTGCCGCGATTTAAACCTTAGTGACACAAGACCAATCCGTCTTGGCGGTGCGGCGGTAGTTCAATCAGAATGCTAACAAACCGGCAATTTTATTTTCAGGTAGAGAAGAAAATTCTCGTGTTCCGTGGAGAATTTCGGGAACCGTGGAAACTTTACACCCGAAAATTGCTTGAGCAATTCTCTTGACTTTCGAATGATTTTGCTCAAGCATTAATATTTCCTTAAAAAAATAAAAATGCTCCAATAGTCAAGCGAATGAGGCCTTCCATAAAATCGCAACGGCAAATTCTCGATTAAGGTGGCAGTTTGCTAAACGATAAATTACTACTTCTTTAAAATTACAATTTTATATTTTTGGGGATCTTTGTGTCAATACTCTCCTCTTCTTTCCCTTTGATTCAATAATTAGTTTAAATTTTAAACTTATTGGGCAAATAGAGTACAATGAACATGACGGTTGCAATAAAACCCAACGGAAATGACTAAAAAATTATCCACGAAAACTTGGCGTTCGTATAAAATGTGTCAATTGGCTTTAAAGTACTGTTTCAAACGTGCACAACACTTGGCACACATTTTGTGAATACATTTTTTAGTTAAATTAATTTTGAGGTGGTTACAAAATTATCCTTTAAAGTTGAATGCACACTCTAAACTGCTTTGTAAAATATTTTCATAGATTGCCTAGTAATGTTTGTATTTTATCACCTCACGTCCGCGACGAGCTGAAAATTGTGTAAAATGTTTAAAGTGACGATAAAAAATTGGGTGTAAAATCGTATGACTTGTCGGTACTTCATTCATCTAAGACACACCAGCTGTCAAACGTCTCAATAAATTTATTTACTGATATTATTATGAGTATACTTAAAGTGCACTATTGCTTATCTACAGTATATATACTTCACTCTTTTTCCGAATGTGGCGTTCCTCCGCCGTTCTTGAATTGGGGTTTTCATTTCTAAGATTCCATACACATGATTTTTCTATAACATTTATTAATTTTTAAAGAACAAAAATTATGGGGATTGAATTTCTAAACTTAGAATTTAAACTTATTACATTTTAAACTTTATAATTCAATGCTGGATCATTTTTACATGAAATGCAAACAAATGCATGAGTTATACGTAAGTATAATGCTTTTTCTAATTAAATTGTCTCGCTCTTGCAAAAACTTCCCTTCGGAGGCTTTTATTATTTTGATTAAATGGAATCCTTTGCGGTCTTATTCTGCGAAAAGGACCGAAGCAGCCTAACAAAAACGATACTAGTAATTTTAGCTGAGACTAAAATAAACCAATTTTATGCTGTACTTGTACTTACAGATTTGAACCACCAGTTGTCGCGATATCGAAAAAGTTTTGTCTAAACATTATTTGCTTCAGTAACAATTGTTTTAAATTTGAAATAAATAAAAATAAATAAATTATTATCATAAATTAATTATTTTTATTAGTTCTACTAAACCCGGCGGCAGCGGTGTTCTGATGGATGTACTACTAATGTCGCTATTCGATTTTTTTCTGGAGTTTAAATAAGTGCATAAGATAAATTTTCTGATTGATCAAACATGAGTTTTGATCGAAATTATTCATTTTATGTCTTACCAATCCAGCTTCAATGATGAACTATTTAAACGATAATTATTTTCGTTATGTTTTTGCGACGGAACTCAAGATTTAACGGAGGAGTTTCAAGGCATGAAGACATCACACATGTTTCAATGCCGTCTTCCATTTACTTAATATTTTAGATGATAAATTGAGAATTATTGGTAAAAATTGTCTGCGATTTACCTTCTCCGTACGCGTTAGAAAATTGTGAGCAATAACATCCGTTGGTGTTCCGATTAAATATTAAATTAAAAGAGACTTCCTCTGATAATATACTTCATAAAAATATACACCGGTGTGAATGTACTTCCTACTATATGATGTCTTGCGAAAAATTCGGTGGTTATATTTTCACATTATGCTAGTGTGTTTCTATTTCCTCCAACCTTCTCAACACGGAGTTCTGCACTTTATTATGTTCGTTAAAATTAAAAAAAGCAAAACTTCGACTATTGGTATGCTTCAGATGTCGGCTATCATTGAAATATCACAGCTGAATCAGATAAACAAACCGCGTGCATAATGGTTTTAGCTGGTTGTGCCGAACATTGGATTGCGGATTCGTACGGCTAAATGCTGGCCGATTAGAGGCAAGTTTTTGAAGCTTTTAAATTTAAAACCTTATTTGCAATTTTAGTCGTCATTTAAGTACAAACTTAATTTCCTACATGCGTATTTAACTTAATTTTTGTTACGTTTTTACTGCTGTCAAGATGAATTTTTTTCTTCACTTAGCGCAGCCAAATGCCGGCCGACTGTAAACTAGGTGAAATTAAAGTCTGTTTGCAATTATGGTTGCATGTTATTTACTGATTTTACTTCCTACCTATGGTTATCTTCATGAATTTTTCGGCAGCTAAAAATGAGCCTGTACGTGACAGCTAGAAACGCTCTACCTTTTTAGTGTGTAATATTTTAGCCTTGTTTTTATGTATTTTTTTTTACTTTATACTGAACTTTATCAGATACATGTAGGCGGACATTATTATTTGTGCTTTATTATAGCTATTTTGACTTCTTATTATACTTTGACTGATAGCAAGCTAGTGCCTCTTGCTCTACTTCAAAGTATAAGATAAAGGAAAACTTAAACGGCCTGTCTTCAGTTCATTGATTCAGTAGGTACGCTCAGAAGCTTAATTTAAGCATGCTGAGGCTTTCAGAAAGTCGTTCAAATTTACTGTTCTTTCAGATCAAATACCCTTAGTTATCGTACACAACTTTAGGGACCATGGGCTATTTATTTTCTTCCTACTGGGATAAAAGCCTTTGAGATGAAACTAGATACCTATGAAGTCAATTAACCCATGTTTAATTAAGCTAGATAAATGAGGTACAATTGATAAATTACTCACCCTCGGTTGAGCCATATTGAGATTTATTTAACACACTAGCACTTTGAATTATTAGAAAATATATTATAAAAAAAGCACTGCCCTAACAAAAGATTCACAATTTAATGATCGAATTGAACGGAATCCGAATCACGATACGCGCACTAAACTTATCATTTTCATAAACTAAAAGTGAACTAGCTCAGAAGACTTATTCCACACACGGATCACAGACTTTGGCAACACAATGTGAAAAAGTATTGGACTATTGACTTATCTAAAGCAATCGCCAAAATTTCTCGTAATGAGCTACGGACTAATTTGGGATATTTCTTGGGACCAATTTATTTATTGCTAAAATAAATTGAGAGCAAATTGCCACGGAGAGATTTGAATTGGAGGTTATGATTCCGGCTAAGACTGAGATGAATTAATTGAATAAATTAATTTTAAGTAAAAAGCCGGTCCATGGGGCTTTAAAAAGCCCGGATGCTTGGAATTACGCATGTTTGAGGAATCGCGCGGGTAAAAGCATTGCTGATTGATTTGATAGGTGATAAAGGGTAATAAACACAAACACCGTAGGCGACACGTGGGTCGGGATCCAGACGAAATCCTTGGAGGTGAGGTTGAGTCGTACACAGAACCGAGCGAGAACTATCAGAAAACGATCATGATCACCGCACTGAAATCCTGGAGGGATCCGAAAACAAATCGTAAAAACCGCGCGCGGATTTTGCAATCACAACCGATCAATTCCGGCCGACGCCGGGTCACGACCGCGAATTCGAGGACGACGACGAGAGCACGAGGACCGCGGGAGGAGGAACGCGCGAAAAATCCCGATTCAAATTGGCAGGAATTTATTGTTTTGGCTCAAAAATCCAGGAGCATCATAGGACGAGAATTATAGCCATGCGCAGCGCACCAGTCGATGGGAACTGTCAATCAAAAAACAGATTTAAGTTTAGATGCGCAGTAGGTGACAGCATCGAGAGGCTTCGTGCGCAGTCGGCGAGCTCTGCCTACACTGGGCGGGGCTCCGAAGCTGAGAGCGCTGGCTCGGCACCGGGGATCGCACCGTCTCGCTCCTCCGCCGCGCTCCGCCGCCGCCGCTCCACCGCGCCGGCCGGCCCGGGCTCCTCGTAAAATGGTGGATTCCCATTCCGATTCTAATGGCCAGGAGACGGCCTAGGACACCGCCACTCGCCACGCCGCTCCTACCCCACCGGCAAATATGAAAACGCGACGGAATAACAAAAACAAAACAAATTAAATATAAAATATTGTACAATTTATTCCTTTCCTCTCTCATCTTGCGCTTTCTTTGGAAAAACTCTCTTCTTATTTCTGTGAATTTCATCCCCTCTCATGTCTGGTCTGAAGAAATTCTGCCAGAGATTCCGGCCATGATAAGGGAGCTTTCGTAAATTACGTAACGCACTTTTTCGGCAGAATCAGCCCTCTTCTCCGTTGTGAGATTTTTGGGACGAAGATCTCTGTCCGTGGACAAGTAAAAACAAAACGACAAAACACTCTCCTTAACTTCCCTCCTTATTTCTGTGGATTTCATCCCCTCTTGTGTCTGGTCTGAAGAAATTCTGCCGAAGATTTCGACTATGATAAGGGAGCTTTCGTAAAATACGTAACGCACTTTTTCGGTAAACCTTCTTTTCCCGAGATTCCTTACTTCTGTGAATTTCATCCGCACTTGTGTCTGGTCGAAAAAAATTCTGCCGGATTCCGACTTTGATGAGGGAGCTTTCGTATAAATTACGTAACGCACTTTTCCAACATACTGTCTTGCGACCCGTGAGTCCATCGCAATCAGTTTGTGTAAAATATTATAAAATGTATTCCTTTCTCCTCTCATCTTGCGCTTTCTTTGGAAAAACCCTCGTTTCTCGAGATTCCTCATTTCTATGAATTTCATCCCCTCTTGTGTCTGGTCGAAAGAAATTCTGCCAGGATTCCGACTATAAGGCAGCTTTCGTAAATTACGTAACGCACTTTTTCGGCAGAATCAACCCTCTCCTCCGTTGCGATATTTTTGGGACGAAGATCTCTGTCCTTGGACAAGTAAAAACAAAATGACAAAACACTCTCCTTAACTTCCCTCCCAACTGAACTTTACGTAATTTATGGACGGCCCCTGTTCCAATTAGTCTGAAAAAAGTTCTCAAGAATAGTTAAAAATTGTATTTAAAAACATGTCGATTGTGAAAAATTGCGCCGTCTTCGGCGCGTGTGTACTCTGCGAATTTCATCTCCTCTTGTCTGGTCGGCAGAATTTTGCCGAATGTACAAAAATGTAATGATATTTTTTTTCCTTCGAATTTTTTGTATGAGAGTTAAGAATAATGCCTATGCAACAAAGTTTCTGAAAACAGTTGAAAATTGAAATTTGAAACATATCGATGATGTTGGAAAATGAATATCATTCAGTGCAGCATTTAGAAATATTCATACACGTTTTATTTTAAGTATTTTCAACTAAAATTAACCATGATACCCATTTCCTTGAGATTCCCTTTTTCTGTGATATCTAACTCAGAACGAGCACAGACAATTTCGAGGAAAGCTGTTGATCAGTTTATTTTAGAAGGAAAATGAAAATTTTAAGAAAACTTGCAATAACGCAATTGGAAATACGAAACAAGGCGATCTTTGCTGAGAAATGTCTTGTACAGAAAACTTATTTAATGATGGATGCTTCATGGTGAGCATCTAATATTTTAATGCTTTAAGATACACGTTTCGACGGGAAACAGGTCTCCACAGTTTAACATTAAGATAAATTTCCATCAGTTCTTATTTATCTTTACAGTGTTACTACAAAAAATTTGATTGGGAGAAATAAAAGTCAAACTGTATTTAATGAGATTCATACGGATATTTCTCAAAATCAAAGTATTGGAATGACAAACAAAAGCACTGTGAAACTCATTCTGAGAGTAAATCACCACATGCACGGACACCCAGGCTTAACGAAGTAAAAATGGGGGCCCACCTCTCTTTACAAAAATAAAAAATAAAATAAAAAAAAAAATTCGTGAATCCATTTAAATTGTGTTTAACTTTATTGTTTGTATTTATTCACCCATGTGTTAATTGTTTCTTCATCATCGAAATGCCGGATACACAAATGTAGCAAATTAGCATCATAATTTTTTTACAAAGCGACTTCATAGTGATAATCAGCAAATATCTTGCAAAAAATAAAAATTACAAGGCATTGTCACCGCTCTACGCCAAACTGGTTGAAAGTGTTACTTGCTTTCTTCCGCAAGCAATCGTAGCACATGAGAGTGATACAACTATTCGACCACGTGGGAGCTCGGGTTGCCTGCACTATCAACTGAAGGCGAACTGACAGAGAGGTACTCTCGCGCTGTGCTTGGTGCATTTATTCCTGCTTCCTTTACGTACCTCTTAAATTATCTTCTTTAAACAATCTCATTCGTAGATTTAGTAAATCAAAAACTTGTAATTCTACACTTTTGAAAAACTTCTCTTTGTTTTTTAAGAATCCTGGACTGGAATAGCAAGGACCCTTTAAATCTTGGAAATAGCATTGGTGGAAAGAGAATTTATTAACTTTTTATTTAAGAATGTTTGCATTATGACAACAAGTCTAATGAATATGAACGATGAGATAAACCATAGCTGATTCTGAATTCTCTAGTGTAAAGACGCAAAATCTCAAAGTTAAAACGTATCGCAGCAGGAAGTATCGTTACATCTTCGTTTTTAGAAGCTTATCATTTTCATAAAAGAAAGAAAGAAAAAAAATGTGAAAGGGAACTCATACTCTATTTAATTAAAAATTAATTGTTGGCTCAATAGTATGGAATGACAGCGAGGCAGGTATCTGCTCAGTTGCAAAATCACCGACCATAATAGAAATACGTAACCATTTTTCCACTTAAGAACCAGCAACTAATTAAGAATGAATTTCTTCAAGCAGGTTCTATATTGATAAAACCAGGTGGGAATTGTGAGAAGTGCTCTATTACTCTAACAAATTTAGAGACAAAATTTGGCTGAACGAAAGCACAGCTTAAGTTAGGAGCCTTAGCACCCGCGAGAAAGGCAACACAGGAGCCAGACTATGAGTCTAGTCACCCTGGTGGGCACATCGAAAACACACCATAAATCACAAGTTCGCTCGGCTGGCTGCCTAACTTCACGGCGCAATTGTTTATCTTTACCTCTCGTCACGTTGTTTTGAATTCAGAATCGGGGATCAGAAATCGATATCGCCAGTGCAACGCCCCGTTAGGGCAGTGGCGCACTTGCAGTGTCGCTGTGTTTTCATGAGATCAGAATATGCAAGTCATCGGACTTCATTTCTTTCTTCTTTTTTTAAATCTGCTGGTTGCCATCAAGCCCGCTTCCGCGACATGAGCGTGATATTTACTTTCCACTTTTTTATTTACAGCCACTCGAACCCTCGACTCATCAACTGTAAATCTTATTTATATAGCTCACGCATGACCTTGCAGATCGATTTTCGATACGGGCAATAAATTATTCGATTATATTTTGACCCAAATTGTCTTCTCTTTTCTGTTTTCCTCTTGACAAATCCCCATATTGATATGTTTCATACTTTAAATTTATAAAAATTAAAAAAAGGCCTCGCATCAAGTTTTAAAAGTGTGAGGCTGCCTTCTCCAAAAGGCCACAAACAGTGTGCATTGTAATTAATAGAAACGCAAAGAAGATGCTTAACATCGCATTATAAAAAAGATAATTCTAATGAGTCTGGAATAAAATTAAAGTTTGGGAGTAGACCCTCGCGAGGGATTGAAATAATTTGCCTCGATAAAAATTTAAAAATACAAAAGAGAAAGTTTTCGGTTTTGAAAATGTTAAGGTATATAGGTTCGCACTTATATTATCTTAAGGTTCGTGAAAATCATAGAATCTTTTTCTCCGTATCTGTTTTACATTATGCTTGTTATTCCTTAATTGCAAGAATTTAATCCGAGAGCAGATCTAATGAACTTCAACTGAGATTCGTTGAAATTATTTTTTTAATGGCGCGATGTCATATCGTATACCACCTTGAACATCCTTTAATCATACAATGTAAGAAAAGGAGCTGCTTAAGGAACGACTATATAAATACTGACGAGAAAGGCTTGAGTATTTGTCAAAAATGACGATTTTATGACCTCTTCAGACAAAAATCGCTTCCCAAATCAGAAACTGCCATACGAAACGAATGGACTTTACTGCTCGTAATTTTCTTCACAAAGGATAAAGAAAAGTCACTAATAATTCCAAGGATAATATTTGATGGTGAACTGCCGTCGAAGTCTTTTGGATTTTTAAATATTTTTCTTACGAAATTACATGCTGTGCCCCAAAAATAGTTTCTTAAAAACCTCCAAAAAAAAACCTCTCCACTAAGAGAAAAGAGAAACGCACATAGCAACTGAACTTTTTTTAGTGTTTCACGACGTAGCAATGTCTGCAATACTGGGATACTTACAACATGTATTTGTAATTTATTGATATATTCGTTCCCATGGTGACAAGATTGATAGACACGCATAATGTATACTTAAAAAGAAAATGTCGAGCCGAAAAAATTCAAGAGATCCTGAATTGATTTTGAGTTCATTTAAATTATTCATAATTTAATGAATGCTTCATAATTCTTTGCTTAATACATTACTATTGTTGCACTAGGCAAATAAACCACCCTGAGGTCTCATGACACGATGCGCATTTAAATGGGAGATTGATACTATTTAGGTGATTACTTAATGTATGCCATTCCTTTTCCCTCTCATTCTTACACAAGTAATATTTTTAAATAACTAACCAAAGACAGAAATACATATCCCAATTAAAGGGTAAAATCAATTATCGGACCAGAATTCATTTTTTCCCGTAACGATTTTTTGAGGGCGCAGTCTTTAAATCTTTTAATGAGTGACTAAAGCCCCAGTAAATAGTTTCTTTTAAGAAAATTGTACCCTTATTTCTGGCATAACCGCCGAGATTCAGT